TTTTTTTTTTTTTTTTTTTTTTTTTGTGAAATATATTAAGCTTTACATATTTATTGGATTTTTTTTTGTCAATAAATCATATATTCTGAGATTTACTGTGCATTCCCTTCATTTCCCCTTCAACATCCTCTCTGTGGAGACTCACTTTATAAGTTCTTTCTGTCTGACTCTAAAATGGCATCCTCCCTCATTTTCATGTTACTACCTTATCTATATCACATAATCTTTCCATTCGTCGAGTAACGATCAAATGAAATGATGTTAGGAGTTATTAAAAATTGTTTTTCAAACCTCATTGACCAATTTTTCTCTTTTGAAACCTTAGAGACGAAATAGATATCTTGTTCCAATCTTAAGGATAAAAAATGTACTTTGTGCAGCATTTTCTTATTTAAATTACACTCTTTATGATGAATGTTTTGAGGGAAGGTCTCTTCAGGAATTGACTGAATGTTCGCCTTTAGATTTTCTAAATGAAAAAGAAAGAAGAGAACGAATATGCTCTCTTGGGAAAAAAGATTTCGATTCAAAAATTCATAATATTTTATAATATTTTATTAATTTAGCTCTACTCTCGTAAATGTTTTAACTACATCTCTGATATGTTGTCATTTTTTTTTATTTATAATTCAAGTCTTATAATCACTATATTTTGAATGACGAACGATGAAGTTTAAAATAGTAATTCTTGTGAGTCTAAATTATTATCATTATTTTTGTTCAACAAAAAGTTAGTTACTGGATATCATGTTAATTATTTTTAATGTTTCGTGCAATAAAAATTTAGTTGAAAAAAAAAAATAAATAATGCTTTAAAAAAATCAAGACACTTAATCAAGAAATGAATTGAATAGAAAGAATGAAAATATATATTTTAACAAATAAGGGCAGACGTATTAGATTCATTTATTGGTTTTCTCAATCGTATAAAGCTAATAAAGAACCAAATAAATAATTTAACAATTAAGAAAATTTGACTATTTTTATATTTATTGTCGATAAACAATTTTTTTTTTTTTTTTTT